AGAAAAAAAAAATTACATGTCATCCTGGTGGACACAATTGAGACCATGAAAAGGAAGGAAACCCAACCAAACATGATTCCATATTTGATTCACTGTGATTAGCATTTCATCATAAGAACCTTGCTTATCCTTTAGTTCCTTAATTTTCGCTTCAAGATCTTGCAAATCATGCTTCTATTTGTCTATTTGCGGAAGAAGTCTCTGGTTCTGGTACTGGAGAACTGCTGCATCGACCTGGGCACGTATAGTACGTACACAAAATACAGATTACTTCCTATCAATCAAACAAACTCAAAGCTTTTGTCTGGTGATGATTGGATCCGGCCAATTATACTCCATAAAATTGATTTTGGGGCATAGACATTAAGAGGGAAAAAAAAAAACTAGAACGTAAGGAAGAACTCAAAAAAGAGAAGAGGACACTAAAGCAAGGAGCAAAAAAACAACTTTGGACGTTAACCATCCCGTTAGTTGGGTGTTAGGGTTTTTTTTCCTTTTTTAATTAGGAGTAAATTGGGTTTTTGTTTTAGGATGATGTGTCAATTTGTAAATCCATTAGATTAAATTTTAATGAGGTGTCGTATGGATAACAAAAGTATAGCAGATCATGGCAGAGAAAATCAGAGCAGAGGATCCAAATCCTCCCCAAGAGTGACATCCACGGATGTTACGTTTAAAGTGGATGTGCATATCAATTTGTTTCCTCCGCTCACACCAGAAAGAGATATTTTCAATTGCTTGTATTAATTTAACAATTCAAGATCAGAAAGGGACTTCAAAATCATTTTCTCCTTTTGTTTTTCTTTTTTTAAAGTGGTTTCATAAACATTAAATAAATAATAATAATAATAATAATAATAATAATAATAATACAATAAGGAATCTCTACCTTTGATAAAGAATGAGAATGTTTCAAGATGTGATTCAGTAAATCTTTGTCCAAAGTATTTGAGCTTGCTTTAGAATGTTATTTTTAATCATGTCCTTAAAATCACATTTGGTTATAAATTATATTAGGGTTTGACATAGTCAATCTGTACAATAATAATATGGTTTGCAATATTGTACAAGAGAATGACGGTATTGCATTGCAAATCCAACTGAATAGATTCTTCATCTATTCTTGTAACCTTGGGTAACCTTGATATATTGCTAGATGTCACTCTTGGCTCATGGAAGTCCTATGATTGATAGTGATCAATCCATATAAAGGAAGAATAAAAAAGGGTTTTTAATTTCATTTGATTAGAAAGAGTTCTAATGTTTCTCAGTGCCTTGCTAATTAAAACCTAATGGATCGTACACTTTGATTGAAATACAAATGAGAATGAAGAAATCAAGTTTGATTGAAATTGATGTGATTGATTTACCACGCATAAAAACATAGACTGTAGAGGTGTCAAACGAGTTGTGTTGGGTTGAACTGGCCTGTTTATAGTTGGCTCATTTAATAAACAGACCATGTCGGGTCGTGCTCATGTCGAGCCACTAAACGGGCCGAAATAGGTGCATGCCAAATTTGACTTATGTATTGCTTCTTTTTTTTTTGGTAACTTTTTTTACAACTTCATTTAAATATTTTTAAAATTATGTACAAACAAGATTTATTATTTGATGAAAAAAGAGGACAAAAACTTTATTTAAAGTACATTTAAATAGAAAATAACTAGATTATTGTTTGGATTTTAAAATTGAAACTTGAAAAACAAAATCATTATTTTATATGCTAGCCTCTCCGCACGCGCTTCCGCACCTGCGAGAGGTTTTATTTTTTTTTTATTTTTATAATTTTAAATTTATTTTAGAATTAAAAAAAATAATGGGTAGTTGTATTCCATAAAAATAGGATCCATTATCTGATTTTTCTTTTAATTTTAATTTTTTTTAATATGAAAAAGTATGAATTTACCATATTATCCTCATTTAATTAATAATTTCAATTCTTAATGTTTGCATTAACCAAATGCATTTTTTGGTAGTTTGAATGTTTTACCATTCTCTACCTTTTGCTTTATATATATAAATAAATAAAACATTAAATTTTAATATATATTATTAGAGAAAAGAAATAGACTTGAATTTAAGATATAAATATAATAATATTATGTATTATTTTTCTCTAAAATAAATATAATTTAATAAATGAGCTTTAAATGGGCATGCTCGTTGGGTTTCGGGCCGGCATAGCCAGCCCAGAGATACATGATGTGTCGAGCCGTATTACGGCCAACTCGATCCGTTTGACATCTCTACTTATGAGGTGGCTCCTTTTCTTTTTTTGCTTGTGGTAAGTGCTTTGCTAATGCGCATCAGTGCATGGCATGTGTCGGAAGGAGTCTCGGCAACAAGCGTCGAAAGCTGTTGGTAGATGTCAACACATGTGGGAAGGTGTTGTTGACAGGCGTTGACGGTTGCTGTCTGCAAATTGCAGAAGCTGTTGACGGTTGCTGTCTGCAAATTGCGGAAGCTGTTGACAGTGGTGTCATGGCTGGTGATAAGGAGCATCTTTTGTGGGGTATTGAGTAGATGCTAAAAATGTGAAAATTTGCTAATTTCAATTGACCATATCCAAAATTTCCATATATATATATATAATTCTTTAACTAATTTTAATTTAATTTTACCCTTTAGAGAATTTAATACTATTAATTTGTTTTCAACCGTTCGACTATTGTTTATCTTTTTTTTATAGAGAAGAGTGATAATTATATTCATAAATTAGGCACAAAGACTATCTGCTATAAGGGCAAATACAAATGCCCACAAAGTGGTAATACAAATATGGAAGCATAAAAACCACATAGAGTTAATCCATATACAGGCTACAAAAAGATAGAGAAATTTCGGCAAACATGAATCACAGGGGCCAAATCTACCAATACAACTACAACGTTTAACTCTCACAAGTACAAAATATTAGTAGAGACTAGAAAACAATCAAACACCCAACACCCAACTCACAAGGAATTGATGCAATTATTACAAAATAAGAAAACTGCAAACAAACAACCAAAAACCAATAGAGCCACTACCGCGATTGTTGCCACCGCCACCACATATGTTGTCGCCTCCTTGAAAACAGAGAACATCACCGAGCTTGCAGCCAGTCACCTTACAACTAAATCACCAACCAACAAAACCACAAATCCAAAGCAGATCTAGACACAAATCGACCCCCACAATTAAAACCCCAAATCCAATAGATGGGGAAGGGGAAAATAAGCGGGGAGGTAAGGAAAAGAGAGAGAGAGAGAGAGAGAAGGGAGGCTAGGGTTTTTAGCTTTCTCTTTATGGGTAAATCAACCACCATATCGGTACACATGTTGAATACAAAATACAATGCACAAACAATGATATCGCATATTACATACTTAGCAACCAATGACGCAACATAGCTCCTTACATGCAACTGTATTTGAAAATAAGGCATAAATACGAAGCATCATCCTTCTTTGCTGTCTCAGACGTGCTGGCTGATGTATTTCATGCTATAGGGGGATCCAACCCTGTTTTAGTTTGAAATTATAGCATAATTAGTGTGAAACCCCTATAATTATAAAAAAAAATTAAAAATAAAAACTGTTCAATCCGTAATGTGTAAGTATGATTAATGCAGAAACTTTAGGTCATAGATGGGTTTAATGTACACACCTTGATCAGACCCGTCTCGGTACCACATAGGATAATGTCATTGGCAGTGAGGAGGCTGGTAATTCTGCTTCCAGCTGAAATTCTGCCCACTTTCTGCTGAGTCCCTCTTAACCATATCTGTTTTCACAAAGTGTGTACGCTGAAAATCGCATTTAAAAGATGTTGTTGTTGTTGTGTGCCCCAACAGTGTTATTTACCTGAATGCTGTTTGTTGCTGAGCTGCAGTTGAGATATATGAAGTCTTCAACTATTCCCATTGCCATAACACGTTCTCTTTTGCCGGTTTTTAGCGACATTTGGGGTTTGCTGTGTCTTCTCCATTCCTGCATATATACCCTTTTAATCAGTGAAAGGCTCTCTCTCTCTCACAATGTGAGCTTCTAATTGAAATCCATACCTTCAAATTTGAACCTTCCACAACTGAACTTGCACTGTAAAGCCAATCTTTATATGTGAAAATTGCATTAATGGGCTTCTTTTGCAGCTTCCAAAATTTCGTCGCTGCTTTGATCTCTTGTGCCCGGTTGTTCGTTATTGAAAACTCCTAAAAACAGTGAGATGTCACCTAGTGTTGTTGCAATCAAAGCATGATTTCTTTAAACAATACCTTTAAACCAACCTGTATGCTTGAATCCTTGCACCCTGCATAAATCTTCCCCTGAACCACTGCCAGACAATTCACCTTTTTACTCTTGCAATTATCCTTGACCTTTCTTGATGCATACACACACAACGCAGCAGAGGAAATAAAATAAGTTGGTTTAGGACTTAGATTCCTATCAAAGTGAGGAGTGTGAAGGAGATTAAAAGGATCCCTAATTTGTCATGAAGATGAAAACCTAAAGTGATGAGAGCATGCATGCAATATTGATTTATATGACGAGTGAGAGCATGCATGCAATATTAAAACAGGTACCAGGAGTGGCGTCCCCCGACCCTAATAAGTAATTCAAAAACAGTAATCATGACCATCAAATCAATTCACTCATTATCATTTGCAAGTGCATAGTGCTACTTTGAAAATAACTGAGCTATAGGAACCACCAAATAGTGTACCAGGAGCCAGATGTTTTTTTTTTGTTTTGGTTGTTGTTGTTGTTGGTTTGTTTATAGAAATTAAATGGTGTATGGTTCATCTATATCATTAGTTCTAAGAATGGGTATATACCTAAATATATCATTCTCATTTATTAATTGATAAACCGAAACTTAGTGGTCTTTATTGTGTACCGAAACTAACTTTTTCATTTTATTTGGATATACAGGCTACGAATTGCTAAACTAAAGGTTCTTTATTTATTTTTAAACCCGTTGATTAACGAATTTTGTTTTAGACAATCTTCATATCTTTTGGATTATGTTAGGTACGACAGCTATTCTGACCAGGGGCGGAGCCAAGATTCAAATTTTTGGGGGGGCCAAAAAATTAACATGTACTAAACATCCAGAGCAAGAAGAAAAAAAATAAAGATTGCAGAAGAAAATTGTTGACACCATAACTGACCAAGCAACTAGAAGACTAGAAGGAACTCTAAGCAAAGCAAGAGGAGTCCCACATCGGAAAACTGCAAGAAGTGGAGACTCCCCTTCACCTATAAAAGGAGACTTCTCTCCTCTTAGAAGGGGGATCCGAAACTGAGCTGGGTTCCCTCTTCAGGACTCTCCTATTAGTCTGGCCTCCGAGTCCTGGGTCTCCAGACCCGGGGACTTGACACCTGGGCTCCAGACTCCTAACTTTGTACCTAAGGCCCTAGGCCTTCTTCCAGTTATCTTTGGGTCTAATCCCCTTGTACAAATGTAAACAATATCATAATGAGAACATCTTCTCTGTGGACGTAGCCCATTCATTAAGGGTGAACCACATATATCTTGTCTTTTGTATACTCATAAATTGGCCAAGTCCTCACATACATGCTGAAGGTCCAAACCTTCACCCATCATTCATCACACCTCATCACTAAGTTGGACTCAATCTTGGCCCAACCATTTTGAGCATCAACAGCAATCATCCAACCAATAAATGTTTTTGATCATATTACGTTGATACGAGGAAGTCAAACATGCTTTTTTAACCAACCATGCTATTGTGTATGGCTCCCCTGTCCAAGAATATGTTCCACCAATATTCGATATAATGAATGCAGATAAAAGCTGTGTATCAGAACCTTCTTCAGATGCCACTGACTTGAGGATAACCTGCATTGCTTCGTCTCTGAATAAACTCTTACAAGTGGTGTTATCCTGCAGATATTCATTTGATGTCAATCAGAGTGTGTAGTGAGTTGAGTTAGATTCATATGTAATGATTAGATTTGATGGAATCTCCTGTATAAAGAAAGATGCATTGCTTGATGATATTTGTTCTATTGCCTAGGCCTTGGAAATTGGGACGTGTATGTAATTACTAGCACATTTGCTGCCAAAAGTCGGCATTGAGGTTGCACATTTGCTTGATGATATTCATTCTACTTACCAGTGTATCTAAATGGAGCAGCAAATTTGCTGCCAAAAGTTGGTATTGAGGTTGGATTTGTCGGACACACGGCATGAGTGAGTTCATAATGTTGGTGCTTCCTTCTTGGTGTAGCCTCTTCAAAAAGATAATAGCCGATGACCTTAAAAAAATGAGAATATGATGTTTGAGAGCCTCATAGGACTAGAATTACTGTGTAAAAAAACTAGGTTACTTAACTGTACCATCTAATTTTCTCAAACATAAAATAGATACACCTAACTTTCTGAAAAAAGAGAATGCTCAGTCATTAATAACCTTATACTTACATGCATCGGTTTGAAGGGTTAAACTATGTGTATAACATACTCTTGTGATATATTTTATTGACAATGAAACATGTGAGATTTAAAATTCTCAAGAAAGTATTCAAAATATTATATGAAAATGATACATTTCTTAACTCTCATTTCCACATTTTAAATTACTTGAATTGTTGTAATAAAAACTATTCAAAATATTGGAATTTGAAGCATTTTTCATACCTTGGCATGCAAAGAACCTCATGGAATAATTCCAGTGCTATGAACTTGGCATGCTTCTTGTTACTCTCTAGGAGATGGACAAATGGAGCGACAGGAGCTAGTTTTGATATGTATCTTCTACAATGTCCATCATATTGTATGCATTTTACAAGAACAGTAGCCCAGGAGATCAATTCTTCAATGTTACTAACTCTTGCAACATCTATGAGCCCGTGAAGAACTTTTGGAGAACTGATTTCAGCCAAGTGCATGTTATTTGTGCAATGGTCAAATGCAGTTACTAAAACTTCAATAATCATCAGGGATGCTGTCAGAGGTGTTGGCAGAGATTCTGACCTACCCTTGTAACTGTTTGAATTGCACATGACCCCCGCCAATATCGGTAAAATTTCTAAACTCTTAATTTCTGCAGGAGATGGATTCATCAAGTAAAACAGTATTGATGCCTCATGCACATCTCTTTTTAGAGCACTTGCCAAATCAGACAGCTGTAGACCTTTCTTCTTGATGTCTTCTATAGCTGACTTATTTGCTGCAACAATACTGGTTAGTATGGACACTGATGCCCTTATAACCATTTCCTCCTTTGAAGTTGAAATACCTGCTAGCAGTTGATCCAATATCATGTCTTTCAAGATAGCACATTTCTCTCCATTCCTTTTGCCTAATAATTCATATATTGTTGTAACTTCTAAAGCACAATCTTCATCCCATTTTCCTAATCCTTCCAAGTACAATAGTTTTGAAATTGCCTTTTCAGTGATACCAAGTAATTCACTTTTGGAATCTTTTGCAGAATATACACTTACTTCAAGAAAGCTTTTTGGGGTATGCAAATTCTGTTTTCTCCTTGAATTACTTCTTTTGTGATCCATCTGGTTGATCTTATAGTTCTTCTGAAATGCACACTCATTCTCTACGTAGCAACTCTGAAGGATGTTTGGCTTTTCATCTCTATGTTCTGAAATAGTTAAAGTTAAATTGATTGGGCATCTGCTGCCAAGTAACATAGAATGATTTACTTCAAGGGCTTCTTTAGGCACTGAATCCTGCAGCTTCCTGTACAGGGTGCTTGGAAATTAGGAAAACATATTAAGCTCTGACATTATGTTTTCTATAATGAGGTTTGGGTCTCCAAAAGAGAAAACAGATAAATAAAGGTATAATTGTGAGTATGAACCAACCAATCACAAATTTCTGACTTGGGGAGATCTGCACTTATTCTTGTGGTTGGCATTGAGCATTCCCCATCATCCATTACCTGATTTACAAAGACATTTGTGAAAATAATGCAACTATAGTTCTTAAAACAATAATTAACTGGTTTTGTTAGAAGATATAATTTTCATTCATCAATCAAGTCTGTTTCTACTGAATCACAAAGGATGCATTTATATTTTCAAAAGCTAAATCTTTGTTAAAGATAGTAATGTCTTTTGAAAAAAAAACCTCTGACTCAATGTCATATGCAGAAAATTCAGAGCACGAATCCACTGAAGTTCGCATATCCGATTGGTAGTCATCCAGCATATCTTGGAGTCTTTTGATACTTGAACTGCTTAGGAAATTGTTAACATCAAAATGTGTTGCTTGATCCAAATCTTTTGTGGTTTCCTCATATTCTTCAAATTCCGGGATGTAGATGGAAGTCTTGAGTTCTTCTTCCATGCCACCACCAGTATCTTGTTGAGGATCAAAAGGGTGAACCTTTTGATGCTGCATTGAGTATCATACCAAAAAATTAAAAAATGTATATACGGAAAAGGATTTTGTTCAAACTATTTATTATACCAGGGAATGTAGGAAGACAAGTGATTTTGAAACTTATACAGAAGCGCATGGGAGGAAATCTTCTTTCAAACTTATATCACATACTGAAATTGCACACTGATATTGGAGGAGGATATGCATATATAGGACAAGGCTTACATTCCAGTGAGGGTGCAAGCTATGTTCATGCTCCGTTGTATTCGAAGAGCCTGAGCTGCTCGATTTCCCATGCCTGTGCACAAATGAGTGTGATTTTCTGATATTAAAGTCAAATAACTCTGCTTCAAAATCTAAATTTTATCTGTGGTTTGTTAGTGTAGTGATTAAAGAGTACAGCATGATTGAATAACATGTCTTTAGAGAAACACTACCCTGTGAATATTATGATAGGCAGAACCTGAGAAAAACTTACATAGAATATTGTGACTCATTATCGGGGGAAAACATTTCTCTGTATCCACAGTGCAACTGAGTTGTCTCTCCATATAACATGACCTGATAATACATCAGCCAATCCCTATACACCCTTGCCATCTGCCTTATTGCTTCATCTTTGTCATCCTCTATGTAAGCCGCCGAAAAAATTGATCCCAAGCTTCTACTTTCTCTTGTTTCTTGTTTTCCAGAGTTGGTGGTGCATGACGCGAAAAGCCTTTCGCAAAGTTCGGGTGCGAATTCTGTTTGAACAAGCCTTGGGAACACCAGAACTGCCTGCAGGAAATGCAGTGCAACCTGCCACTCATCCTCTTGGAGCTTCCTAACCACTGAGAGGTAAAAGTATGAGCAGCACACCAAACAGCAGTTCTTAAATCCTGCTGTGACTCCATGTTCATCGAGCAGCGCGGGAACCTGCAGCATTTGCTCTGCCTTCTTGAGCAGAGAGGCTTTTTGTTCTGGACATTTTGCTCGAATCGCGGCTTCAATGCTGTCAATCCCCCAGTAAAGATTTGATATGACAGATTGCTCTGAAAATTCGAAGAATTCCTCTTTTTGAGCACTAAACTTGAAGGTGCATCTGAGACGTATAGAATTTCTAGCTTTGGCATTTGATATGAGTTTGTGAATGCAACTATTGACTGAAATGACAACTGCCCAAATGGATTTCAAGTCCAGTCTCTCTTGTTCATGGAATGAGGAAGCCATTGGAGCAGAAGAGGAGGTAGCTTCCATTTCCACCATGACTGGTTATTGATTTTCATATAGGAAGAAAAAAAACTATCTTCGAAGGAGATAAGTATTAATAGTAGTGTCAGGAGAGTCTTTTGGAGAGGGTTTGGATCAAATCCCGTGACTTTCTGCACCAGCCAATTTCCAGACTTCAATGGACCCCTCTATGTGTTTGCTTGCTCCTACAGACAAAAAATTGACCGTTGCCACCATTGAGGGAGGGAAAGATGAGAAAGAAAACAACATTCCCAAGTGGTCACCTTCACATGTCCTAATATTATAACACTTGGGATCTTTCCAGGGCTCCAGCATACCATCATCCTGCACAATATACATATAGTTTGGTTGTAGATAAATTGGTAACATTGCCTTGTAAGACCGTAAATTTGAGCCACACATTAATTCAAAGAAAATATTAACATTTATATCATCTAAATTTGCATTTTAACAATATAAACATTTGTTAGACAATAATTTGTCGTTTTATATTATCAGACATTATGATTGGAGAACATTTTCATGCATAAGCATTTAGCGGACAGTAAGTTAATATCTTATATTGTAAGACGGTCTGATAAGAGAAGATATACATGGCATAAGAAATTGTGGTGAATAGTACTATGGATTAATTTAATACAGTATTATTAATAACACTATTGTTAATAGTTTTTGGAAGATGCAATGTATTTAGTGCAGCAAATTCTAGTCATTCGTACTTAGGATGACTTGATAATCGCGCAACCAAACCTGCACTACAAGATAGCATGTTGACCTGTCAGAGCAGGCCACGTCATATGAGCTGGACCCCCATTCTACTTTACCCTCATATCATTTACCAGCACTGTATACATTCTGTAGAATTATTATTTTACATTCTCAGGTTATATTATAAGATTCTTTCAGGCCCTATCTGCAAATTATAGAGCTAAAGAAGGGCCAGAGAAGAAGAGAAGACCCACAGAACTTCGTTTAGTTGTTGGATTAACATGAAGCTGCGTGGCAATCATATTCTAATGTCGCCTGATATCTGGGTGATCAATTTCATCTTCTTTTGTTTGGTGTGGTGAAGGCCAGAGATGGTGAGCATTCGTGAAGCTGTCACGAAAGGGACATTACTCTAAGCAACTGCATAAACCCGATTCTATTATTGAGGGAAAGGGACATTACTCTAAGCAACTGCAGAAACCCGATTCTATTATTGAGGGAATGTTACATGTATCATATTATAATAACGCATTTTCCACAAAGTTGAAAACATTGCTAGGTCGGTTTTATGTGAATTTTATAAAGATCTTACGTCTTATACTCAAGATATAATCAACAATATGATAAACAAATTCTTCTGTAGATATAATTTGTCAAAGTCTTTGCGTACTAGATTGCATATTAAGCCCGTGAATTTTTCTGTAGATAATTTCTAAGCTTGATTAATATTTAAATTGCTATCAAGGAGAGGTCCCTATAGTACAGATTGGATTGGACTATTGTCTGTCACGGGCACAAAACTTGAGCTTCTAAAAAAGTGTGGTGTTTTCAACGTTGAATTTACATCCCATCACATGCATCTGCCAACTGATAATTTATCTACGGGCTTGGGAAGGAAGGAAAGGAAGGATTGATGTGTTATTTTTCTTTTCTTTTCTTTTGTTTCTCTTTTAGTAATATTTGCTCAAAATACACCATACACTTCTTCCATCTCGTCATTTAACTTCTGAGAAAAAAAAACATGAATAATTGACCCAGAAAAAGTATAAAAGGAGAGAACTTTTGCCAAATTTGTGAAAATGATAGGCTGGAATGAGCTCTGCCTTCCACTGGACTAGAATGGTATCTGAAACTTTGATTGTTTAGCCTGGTCCACATGAAAAGGTTGGGTTGGGGCCATTGCCACCATTATTCTTTCTTTTTTTTCACGAAAGTTAGGAGGGGGATTTGAATCTCAGAGCACACTAGTCTATAAGTCAAGACATTTTTCACTAGGCTATTAAACTTCGTTGTTTTGGTTGATAAAACGATATTCTAAGCTACTCTTAATATACAGGGAGAGAAACCGAACTCAGATACAAGAAGGTAAGCAAACTACTTCAACCAATTGACATAACTCACGGATGCTGTCACCTCCCCTAAGGATTCTATTTTCACTTTTTCAATCCCAAACGAAAAGCTACGAGCAAAGGAGCTAAACCAAGGTCGTATCAATGGGTCCCGATTGAAAGGGAAACAAATGGGATCTCTCGCTTGAACCCCACTTTCGATAATTGCATTATCTTATTTTTGCTCAATAATGGGTCATAATTAATCAATTTCAGCTAAGAGCAGAAATTCATAATGGTTTTTTTAATCCAATTTGCTTATGTGATGTAACATGGGCGCATTTCATTTTCCTTCCACTAATGATAATCCTGTCACCATAATGTGCTGGGGTCGTGAAAAAGAATCAATGTAAGGCGTGGTAGTACATGATGCTTTTTTTAACGTGCTTTTGTTAATTGTGCAATTAAGGATTCCATGCACCAAATGATAGGAAGCACTGTGGGGCATGTGATCAGAGAGGGCATGTGATTGTGGGCTTGTCAAGTGTGCACGTTCAAAAATATTGGGTGTTTCATTTTTAAACGTTTCCTGCAAAAAATATTGTTTATCCTAAATCTCTCTAGTTTGAGAAATAGACCAAAAAATTAAAGGGAGATTCAGTATTATACCCAATATAGGAGCCTAAATTATTATATATAAAAAACTTTATATGAAATGGACTTTAGAAACACATCCAAAGCTCATTTACAACTTAACAAAGAGACTTTTAACTTCTTATAAATTATAAAACTGACATCGATTTTTTAAAACAAGCCCAACCCCAAAATCTCATTAAAAAAAACTCAAAACACTCAATAGGGCATCAAAGTATTTAATAATCAAAATTAAATTTAATAGGGCCAGCTGTCATTTTTTGAGTTTTTTTGAGTTTGTTTATAGAAATTAAATAGAGTAGGTTTATCCATATTATTAGTGTTAAGAACGGATATATGACTAAATATCTCAAAATTAAATACGCGAGCGTCCCACTATTAACCTCAGAAAATATTGTTTATTCCAAATCTCCTTCTGAATTTCTGATGTTAGAGCATTTTTATCCATGGCCAAAAGGCCCTTGGGCTGAAAAAAATCTCTCCACCAATGTATTCTTGCCCGGGCAAGATGTGGGCTCCACCACTACCGGGTAGGCTCAAAGGCAAGATCAGCCCGAGCTGCTGCCTGAGAGCGCTAATATCAGCGAAGAACCAAAAAACTAAAAAATTACCAAAAAATTCAAAATCTTTTTTTTTTATACATACCTAGCAGTTTTTTATTTATTAATTTCATACATATAAATCAAATTAATCTCATGTTTATAGTAATTGCCCTTGGGTTACCATGAAATGAGTGGAAAAGTACAAAAAATTTGCTATGGCAAGCACTATTCATGTGAATAGTAACTATCTTTGCCTACTCTTGCCTTTACCTATGACAAATGGGTATAAGTGCTCTTACCTTAGCTGGTTTGGGAGCATTATAGTTAAGGTCAATGAAGTCGAATCTATTACATTTTTCTTGCTAGTGCTTGTATAAGTAGTGAAGTCTAAAAGTTTGGTTTATAAAGTAAGAATTATGCTAACTTCAGTCGTACACGCATCCCCGTTATTTATTTTGACTGAGCAAACCCTCTATAGAAAGGTCACAGTAAGTGGAAGGGCCCAATTTTGTCTTTGACAATGGCCATTTCTGTTTTGTTCTCGGGCTATTTCTTATCTGGGCCTGAAGTTCTAGACCTTGAAAAAACTCAAAGTGACACACAGAAACTAGAAAGATTGACAGGCTAAAAAACGAAATACAAGAAGAAATTGCAATATTCTCAAAGTTTTGATTCTTTTCTCACCCATTCACAGCTGCTTCGTCTCAAAGCGACTCTCCAAAGAGAAAAGTCGCAGTTCTAGACCTTGAAAAAACTCAAAGTGACACACAGAAACTAGAAAGATTGACAGGCTAAAAAACGAAATACAAGAAGAAAATTGCAATATTCTCAAAGTTTTGATTCTTTTCCCACCCATTCACAGCTGCTTCGTCTCAAAGCGACTCTCCAAAGAGAAAGTCGTGTGTAAAATGAAACTTGAATTTCCATGCCTCAAAGTCATGGCCCTGACAACAAAGCATCAACTTCATGCATTAGATCTGTCTGCATTGCATGAGCCAGCCTTCTGGGTAAGTTCACCATTTCCACACACGGTGCCTTTATTAGCCATACAAAAACCCCATTTTCAAAATATCTCTCTCTTTCTCATGCTCACTATACGCGTAATGAGTTAACTGGACCCAAAGTCCTCCCCACCATACAGAAAATAGAAGCACATCCAAGAAAAGCTGTAGTCACTTTAATATCAATTCTCTCTCTCTCTCTCTTTTTCTTTCTTCAAATAAATGACAAAAAGAAAGTTTCATCCATCATCCCATCAACACAAATATAAAACCCTTTTCTTTTGAATCCTTGAGTCACCCAAGTAGCAGACATTATAATATATAAAGCCTACCATCCACATCAACTTTTGCCTTCTCCAATCACACGCCTTCAAAAAAACACTTCATCCAACCAAACGCGTCCAAAGCAAAACCCTATATATTTTCACCCCCACTATATCTCTCCAAGTCTCCATCCACCTCCCATTTTTAACCAAAACAAAAGTCATACCAAAAAAAAAACAAAAATGATAGATCAAGAGAGACAAGCTGGAACTGCGCCCCATGGGATTCTACTGGCAGCTGTGGTTGTGGCAGTGATCGTGGTGCCGTTTTTTCTTGGTGACCAAGGCGAGGCCATAACCGAAGGCATTTCTGAGCTCTTGAGCCCTGTGGGTCTTCTTCTCTTGCCCATTATTCTCCTCCTCACCATCCAGTTTCTGTCTTCGGATCGCGGCTCCTTCGTCTCCTCCATGTTCTCAAACGGGGAGCCTGACACCATTCACAGGGTCAGCGGCTCCCCTGTTGGCGTTGCATTGTTTCTCGTCCTCATCCTCTTCCTTCTTTACAACCGGATATCGATCTTCGGCGGCGGCGACGATGATGAGTGACGATTAGCAACATGTCAACATGGTAATTAGCATGGATCTGGCTTTGGAGGATTTTATTTATAAATTAATTATACCGTCTAGAAAGGGATACGAGTATTGGGGTACGTACTTGAACTTCTTTTTCATATATGAAATGAACATGGGTGGGGATGGTTTGTAATTAGAGCGAATACCAAGCTGAGGAGTGGAATTTCACGGTGATAGTTTGAGGGTATTTTGGTCATTCTGAATAGTTGAGGAGGGCTTTTGACATGTCGGTGCGCGGAGGCGCGGTGTTTTGCCCTCTTCGGCTCCATCTTTGACTACTTTGCTTTTTGTCGTTTTGTGGCCTGCCCCCTTCACGCTTGCACGTGGACGCTCCTTTTTATTTCGTCTCTTTTACTTTTTAATGCATTCTATTTCGTTTACCAAAATTGATGATTTTATTTTATTTATATTGCACATAATTAACAATTTTCATTAGACTTTAATTTTTTTTTTAATATATAAATATATATTAAGTATAAGTGATTGGAGGAGGGGAGTTTACACAAATATTCATTGGGTATATGAGGATTTCGAATATCCACTTACATAGATTGAGGTGGAAGAGCTCAACCAACTAAGCTATACCCTATTAACTAATTATATTTAATTTAAGTACTGATGAAATGGGTAATGCAAATCTTGTGAATCTTCAATTTCAGATTATGAAGAAAGTGAACTGCAACGTAATGTTTTGTTTTTTTCTTCCTTTTGATAAAAAAAAAAAAAAAGAAGAAGAAAAGAAACCTTTAGATTGGTCTGTTGAACTGAAATCAGGAATATAGTTTTTCTTTTGGGTAAACATTGAATAGGAAAAAGCGAATATGCATCTAATATATTGGTAGATGCAGTGGACCGACATAACATGTGGAGGAGGAGGGTCTGCTGCAGGGTGATATTTTTTGTAATTCTCCATTTTATAAGCACCACTCGTGAACCGTGGGTTCAGAAATCTAAATCTGCTATTGTGAATATATTGGGGATTTGTGGTGATGTGAGGAGCTTATAAAAATAAGGAAACAATTTCATACCAACAAGGAAGATTCATAAACAGATATGAGTGAGAATGTAAATCTGTGAAAAATCTTTCGAGAAAAACAATGTTTATCTTCAGATTGTATGAAGTCTAGCTTTGATCAATCAAGTAAAAGTGCTTTCAAGGAAAGTAGGCTGCCCAAGCTCATAAAACTCACGTAGGGAGGTAACTTAAAGATATGATCAAGTTCAATGAAAATGAACAATCCATGTTGTTTCCTTCAGAACTATAAATCAGTGCAGATAAGAGATCGATATGTTCTTATTCATCACATGACAGTGGTGCCCGTTTGCGTTGATGCTGTGAATGTGTCAATGGTTTTACATGGGAGGACTCATCTATCCCGGCAACCGGCGTTACTGCACGGCGAGGATTAAACTGCCCTCTTAACAAGTCTCTTGAAAATCAAGACAGCACATAAAGACCAATAATGCCAACCAAGAAAAACAAAGTATTTCCTCAGATGCTAACAACGTGTATGAATTGCTCAGAGATTGGTCAAGGGCAAAGAAATACGCTAAACAGTCATTAAGAAACAAAATTACAACTAATGATATCTCATTATTACAAACCTATCGCTCAAATTTCATAATATTTCGTAACTAGTATTGACCTCCCAGGTAATTGCAAAAGCTGTGTACACTATTATTTCTAACCAAATGAATGCCATTAGGGTGTTGAAAACCCTCGCTACCACCATCCTGGACAACATCTGCAAACAGTTGTATGGCCAACAAGTCATGTTGAGGAAAGGCTATCCTTGGTCACTTCCAAAGAACTCGTCCCCAGCATTTACAATATCAACCAGCTGTACTTTCAAGTCCATGCTCAACATCATAGTGGCACTAAAGCTACATCAACATCAGCCGTATAGCCTCTGCTTGATAAAAACAAAAACAAAAATAAAAAACACAATATCATCAAAATGATTAACAGAAAGAAATGCAAGATCAACCAACAAAGAACGGGGCACATGAATTCAAAATATTTTTTTCTTTTTACACACTAAAACAAGAGCTCTCAAAGAGTATACCCAAACACAGAAAATAAATGGTTTAGAGCATGCATAACACAAGCCAAGGAAGGATTGGCAAAGGGCCTTCACCTTTTCTTCGTAATATATGACAATTAGCAACATCAAGATGGGTCATGGTATCAGTTTTCCAGTTAAAGTAAAATCTTAATTGACTAAACTAGATAAATTCAAGATTTGAACAACAGAGAGATACTTGGGAATAAATGTGTTTGAACGGCGGCTTGAATTGATACAGAAATGGGGACAAGTAGGAGACAAAAATAACTTCCCACATTATCTTATTCGGTACACTATGGTTAAAAGGAAAACTGATTTTAGGGTTTGGAACTGCGATTTAGGTCTAGTTGATGAATTATGTTTCAAAGGGCTTAAATTTGGTGTACAGTTGCTGAAAAACATGTAGGGTGCAGTAATTTCTGGACAGCAACTCAACTTGGGATCTGGGGATTGAATGAAGATGAAGGTGCACCAAAAAGAAATAAAGATGTTAAACTCCTGTAGAGGATCATGTGATTCACACAAGAGGTCCACATAGTAAAGGTGCTTTAAAAAAGACAATGATATAAGACAATCTGTTTATGTTGATAATTCAACAAGTAGAGCGACTTATTAATTTCTTTTTTTTCTTTGTTTGCGTAAAAGCCAAGATTAGGACAGAGGAAGACGATTTATAATCAAGCACACAACGAGCAGGTAAAAACCATAGATTTCTTTCTTTTCGTAACATGAAATATCATATCTTACCTTCACGCTATTCCAAGGTTATTCAACTTATCGCAGTGAGGAGTAGGCAGATTCTTACTCCATTGACGCCTTTGAAGTTCAACCCGACAGTAGTGTAGAAGCACATTCTTGTAATCCTTGATAACATGGTTCTCTATGTTATCTCGAGCAACACTTCCAAGGGGATAATTTTCATCAAATGCTTCTGATTTAACATAAAATTCCACTCCATGTTTCTCTGTTGTCTTGGGAATCTGGTAGTTGTAAGTCTTCTGCAAAGAGTAGTTAGGCTCTGAAAAGGGAAGATATGCCAGCAATACAATTACCAAGAACGGTAATAGTTGAATAAGAACCATGATATTAGGTCCCCCTCCCTGAACCTCCTCCCTCTGATGGCCAGCAGTTCTACTAGTCCTATAAACATGACTTGTCCGAAACATGTCTGATTGACCAAAGAACGCCCTAAATATCTCATCAGGGTCGAAATCATCATCAAACAAATCATGCCCAGCTCTCCTCCTCCTCCTCCTCACATTGTGTTGCTGGTTGTACTCAAATTCATCAACCAAGCCAGTCTGATCATACTGCCTCCTCGAATCTCCATCACTCAAACACTTGAAAGCCTTGCTTACTATCTTAAATGCCTCTTCCGAACCGGGAGCCTTGTTCTTATCAGGATGAACTTTCAATGACAATTTCCTATAAGCCTTCCTAATGTCCTCAACTGAGCAAGTCTTTTCCACGCCAAGAATGGCATAATAGTCTTTGTTTCTCTTAATCTTCGTAATCAACTGAACATGCTCTTCGGTATAACTAACTTCCCCATTCAAACCTTGGCCCAATTTCTCCACACCAGGCTCATTCTTAATCTCAGTAGCACCCTTTTCACCAATGGAAGATGCAGGAGACCCCAAATCGATCTTCTCACAGGCAGCCAAAAGCTCATTAACTTGCAAACTCTGATTAAGGCGTTGCGCTATTTTAATAAATTTGAGCGCACGCCCTTTGTTACCGGACGCAATTGCTTCTTCAGCAATACGAACGCATCTCAAAGCTTCATCCTTGTTACCATCCATTATCAGAGACCTACCTAATAATTCAAACCCAATTCTCAAATTTCGATTACGACAAGAAATGCTAGCATGGACAAACCAATGTTCAAATTGGGCAAGTACCAAACTCAATTCCAAGCCCCAAATGGAGGTTTCAGATTTCAATTATCCCATCCGTGAATTCAATATATGCCCTAATTCAAAGGAAATGCCGATTAGATTTTGATGAATCAGTTCATGTTCATGCATGTATACATATTGTGGAAACAATCACAGAGAAGCATACCTTTTGAAATCGATCGAAGCCTCGAAACAATGCCAGCATGTATATGTGACAGGAGAGAGAGAGAGAGAGAGAGAGAGAGAGAGAAGGGTTTGGAAATTGGACTCGGACAGAAAGCACCGGACCAACAGCAGAGGAGTGTGTTGCGTCAAAGGACTCAAAGCACCAATCCTAATTTTGATCACCACCATGAATGGTCATCTTCCCAATTAGATCATGCCACGTCGTTCATGGAGCAAAGACTAAAAATGGGTCTTTTTTTATTTTATTTTCTAATTTCCTTTTAGTTTTTATTTTATCTTTTTGGATCCATGACGAAAAAAACCCGGCCCAACTGCCCATGACATTGGTTGTGACAAAGAACATAGGAAACTAACAATGAAGTGGAAGCAATTTACAAGAGGGATCAGGGAATGTTTGTTTTCATTAATTTACAATGATTAAGCGTTAAATTACTGATTAGTTGATCTACTCTGTTTTTATATTTACATCGCAGTACAAAGGAAAGACCAAACAAGTATACAAAACCAAACTCGCAGGCTTTCATTTCATGGGTTGGTGTCTTTAGTTTAGTTCTCTTCATCAAAGTCAAAGTTCTGTTTTTTCCTCACAGATTCTAAGACATCAAAGGGAAGATCACTGCGACCGCTGCGTCCTCCTTGACATGTCTTGAGTTTAGGCACGCTCAGAGCGCTAAGAGGCGGTGACTGTAACCCCTTGTTCACTTCCTTGAGCACTGACCTTGCAGTGGCTTCAGCAGCTGCATCAGCCATCGCTGAGGCCAATTGTGTGTCACCTTGGAGTTTGCTACCAAACTTGTTTTGGGCATGTCTTACACTCTCAATCTTAGATACAACGGGCGAGTTGAAGCTAATTGTTTTCTTGCTGTTGGCAACAGCCTCAGCAGCTGTTGATTTGGCCTTTGCTGCTTCATACTTCTGCATGTCATATATGAGCTCTTTCTGGAGCTGCTTATCGGCAACCAATATGTCTTCGATCTCATTCTTGTAATCCTTGAGGATGATACGAAGGCATTCCATGAGGGAGCCAATGAGGGGGCTGTTTTTGCTTTCCAATAGCCTTTTCAGCTCTATAAAGATGGGTACTGTGTTTTGGATGAGGCCCTTTTTTACTGCTTGAGTTATCCTTCCCTTAGCAGATGCTCCACCATTATCACCACCTTCTTCATCAATGTCTCCAGTGTCAGCTGATGATCCTCGGTTGGATGGAATTCGGATCTCTTTGCAGGCGAGAATTTGGAAAGCATCCTGATCCGGAAATTAAGAAAGCATATTTCAAATATAACAGGCAAGTAGCAAACACAAACACATTAATATTAGCCAAGATTAAAAGGGAACTAAATTAGAGAATCTAGAAATATATCTGCTCTTCAACTCATTAAAAGGACTGAACTGGAAGGCACACATGTTAAAATAAGTTCTGTTGGGTATGTAAACATGTCAATACATTTTGCATATTCCACAGAAATCAGCTACCATATGCAGTAACATGCAAGAAGTTTTTGAACACCATGAGGCAAATACCTTGAGAACAGACTGCCCAGTTATATCATCTATATTGAGCATACCATCAGATGCTGCAGCAAGAATCTCTGCACACAACTTTGCAAAGGTAGCCAATAAGTGCTCTGGAGCCATTTGTTTTAGCAAAGTAACATAGATCTGCATTCTTTTAGACCTTGAATTTTCATCATTGCCCCTGAGAATAACAAAATAAACTATATATAAAATCTAATCCCATCTGTAAAGCTGCTTTCCTTTCAGTTCATTATAGACACACCTACCTGATGGAAAAAAGCCGGCTCTCTGCTCGCGATCCCTGAGCATTACTGTGTCCATTGTGGACATGGCAGTCATTCAGAACAAAAATTGCTTCTACAAAACTGTTATATCCTAGAAGTGGTGCCTTGACTGAAAAAAAAAATTCACGCAGAACAGTCAAATCTCAATGACAAACAAATACATTAATTTCACAACTTCAAAACGAGAGAAAACCTTGTAACCTTTCAGAATATTGTTAAAGAGAAAATTAGCAAGCTGCCTTATCTTCTCTGACTCATCAACAAGGGACAAAAGAAATCTAAGGAACATAACTCCTCTCCACTTCACATAGTCCCTCTGAATTTGACAATATAGTATGAAACAAAGAATTAGTAATCTAACCAGATTTCAATCACCAAAATGGAAATGTTAAGGCATAGGACTAACATATACCTGCAACAATCTGGAGAGAAGTATAAATGTCTGCCTTCTTACAAGTTCGCATGGATCACAGAGACACTTTGTGATCTTTGGTATATAACTGTTGACTTCAAGAAAAACTATTGAGAAACTTATAAAGCAAAACAATAATTCACCTTTAATTCTTCATAGGTAGTTTAAATGCAAAGATATTAGTCGACTCTAGTTCATTTAAGTTACAGTTTTACAGGCTTACCTATCAACTAAAGCAGTGTAGCGAACACAAAAATCTGCCATCATCACCACCAAATTGTTGCGAAGTGCTGCACTATCACTCTTTTCAAGTTCCTACAGAAACTTGTGAGATTTGGAACTCAATTACGTCTTCGGACAAAAGAAAAGGATTTGGTTAAAAGAAACAGATAGTTTTGAAACTGCTGACGCACACACACACATATGATAAATATATAATTATGTAATTATATATATACGTCACAATCAATTGATATGGGTGTAAAGCTGGTAGGCTACAGAAGAACAAGATTGTTAGCATAACATTTTCTAGGTTATAGGTTCCATAGAAATCTGAAGCATCTTGTCAAGGCCACATGTCAATAAGCTGTTTACAAAAAGCATTTAAAGCTGTATAACATAAAAGATGCAAAGTCAAAGACCAACCTTGACAAACAGAGGAATATAACTCTTCGCAATTTTTCCATCTGCAAGGCAAATCTTCCCCAAAGTCAGCCATGCTTGGATGTACAAAGAAGGGGCCGTCTGATTTACAGAGCTTTTGGGCCTTGTTAATTTATCAGCTTTTGGATCAGAATTCCCAGAAGTGATGATGGTGTATAGTAGTGGAATGGCTTTGGTCATATCAGCAGATGGACAGATGATAACCAAAGACCCAATGGTGTAAGCTGCTGTGACTGCTTCTGACAATGACCTCGACATGGCCATAGCTCTCTTGCCCTTTCTAGTCCCACTTCTAGGTGGCGTAAAGAAGTCTCCTTTTCTTTTTGCATCTGAATCATCCAAAATGAACTTCTCTAAAATCTGAGAAGCTTTGGAGATAAGCTGGTGTGCCCATTTCATAACAAGGGTATCAGCCTCCTCTGAGTTTGAAGCCTTCCGCTTGCACAATGTTCTGAGTGCTTTTACATGAGCATTAACCTGTCATCAAATAAAGCAAAGCAAAAGCACATGTTAAATAATAGAGAAAAGGTGGAAATAAAAACCATATGTATTAGCAAGTTGGTGCTGACTATGCATAGGTCTCTACACGTGGCTATTTTTATTGTCATATCCTCACGGCTAATTGCACATCTCCCCACTTTTGTACCAAGTAAGCTCATAAAAGCAGCACTCAGTCTAAGCAAAGGAAAACTCAATTATCTCAATTATTTGTTCAACATTTCCACCATATTCTTTCACTAGTCACTCCTCTGATACAAATGTAAACATAAGTAGTAGTTTACAATTCAAAAAGTGAAATGAAACTCTGATTAGAGATTATCTCATGGAAGCAATCTACTTGTTATTCACTCTTCAGATTAGTCATGCAAACAGGATGAACAGAACCAACTTTGCCTAGAGTGAAAAACGTTGTTTCTAGCTTCATAAATAAAATCAAAGTTTGAAGAATTCAGTTCATTTAGCTGGAAATCATTCAAAATATATATGAAACATCATGAGCATGTTCAATCTCTCCATCCAGATAAGTTGAGCTTAACATTGAGTGAGTGCTTGTGTACTTCAACCCGCAAGGCAAGCAGGCAAACTAATGTACTAACCAACAAAGTATTGAACAAATATACTGATACCAACAGATGAGTACCTCTGTTGAATGCATGTTGAACTCTTCAATTCTTTTAAGCATATTATGAGCTAAATCTGCTGCAAGTTCAGGGGGCAGCTCAACAGAAACATTAGAGATTGTCTGTAAGAGAAAAACACGATCCCCAGCCCAAGCAACAGAAGTGGAATCTATACCATCTTCCTCTTCACATGCATATCCTTGTGCAAATGGGCTTTGAATCTCCCCTCCCATGCCATACTTGTCAAAGAGCTCCCAATGATGATGGAGAAACTCCCAGTCGACTGCTTTTGCAAGGTATGCTGACACCTCTGATAGAAGAAACCAAGAGCCAGGTGGGGCTGTCCATTTCTCTATTGGCATGGATTTACTAAGCCACAGAGACTCAGATGTCCTTATGATGTTCTGAAGAGAAATAGCAAATTTGTGCTTCATCAATTTCTTCTTTCCCAGGTTTGTGCAAATTTTCTTCACCCAAGGTGTCACCTCTCCATTGCAAATCTCTTTCAAAAGACTCAAAACACCTTCAGGAAACACCGAGTCAACATCCATTTCCAAACCTTTTGCTTTATTTGAATTACTAAACCTGGATTCATCATGAAGAGAACTAACAGACCCTGTAGATACCCGTTCCAATACCAGCTCTAGAAACAAGTTCTCACATTCTTCTTGAATGCTAGACTCGTTATCAGCAATTAAGCGTGGAACAGAGTGTAGCCACTCAGTAGCCACCCTTTCATCCAGGAATGTTCTGAAGGCCTACAAAGTCAATGCAAAGTTCTAACATATAAGACCAGGTATTCCACAAAAAATAAATACATAACAGGCACAATTCAAAAGGAAAAGTAAATAGATCAGGAGAATACATACTTACTCTGACGCAGGCATTAAAATAAAATAATTTCCGCTAAGAGAAGCTTAATGAAGTGTATTTCTGATTATGTATCTCGTTAGTTCTCTTTTTCTTTCAGAAATTATGTATCTTGTCGAAACCATTAAAATCCCAAAGTTTAACCTACCCACTAAGAATATTACAGCACTTTGATCCAAATTGTCAGCAAATGCAGATGCGCCTCTACAAAGTGTGGTTGACAGAAACATAATTGAGAATTTTCAATTAAACATAATCAGATTTCTGAAAGTGTCTCATACAAGACAACCATAGTGAGCTAGATTTTGTGTTCCAGGTGGCTGGAAAGAAGTTAACAGGGTAACCCTTTTAGGATCAAAACCAAGATAAGTGCCCAAAAGTATACATTGTTCAAAAATATAAATGGAATACATGGAATTTCGGAGGCTATACAAAGTATACGACCAATTAGATGCCATACTTCCTAACATTAACTACACAAAGTATACAAACCAATCAGAAACCAAAATTATTATCTTTAACTAAAACATCAGCTCAATGAAGAAAGGTTAGATGAAGCACAACATAAAATTTACCGCTGAAAGAGCTGAAATTGCCGTTTTACGTATGCTAACAAGTGGATCAGAACAAGCCATGCCCATTGTCTTGAGCAAGCCTCCATCAAAGTCACTGCCGAGAATGGCTATCAACTTGGTAATTAAAAGAAGTGCAGCCTTCCTTACACCTGCCTTCTCATCCATGCACCTTTTCATTAAAATTTCATTCATCCAACCCTTCGGCCTTTGGTCACTTGCATTGCCAAGCCCCATAACTTCTTCCAGCACAGCCTGACCCCTAGCATCACCTGACAATAAGCCCACCAGCTGTGACAAGTTTGACAAAGCACGGGCTCGAACTCCAGCAACTACATCTGAACAACGTTGAATCAAAGCCTCCAAGCATTTCAGACCCAATGAATCGTTCACTTCACTTTCTGAATTCAACCCCAATGTATCTCTCAACGATGTCACTAGCACCAGAATAAGGTCAACAGCCAAGAGCCTCAAGCTAGCTTTCCCTTGAGTCATCTTCACTACATAACCCACAAACCCCATTTGGTCCTCAAATTCCAAAAATCTAACAATCTCCATGATAGACTCTACAGCCAAAGCCCGAGGCTCAGACTTCTCCGGTGCCTTTTGAACCAAGTACCTCGGAAAATTCATCACTGCTTTCCTGACACCATCAAGCGTCTTGGCCGCACTCATCAGTCGATTCGTCACAAACCCCAATGCAAATGCCCGCACTTGAGATTTATGCTGAAGAATCATCGGAGACAATGACTTCAACACCTCGGCTGCAATGTTAGCTTGGTCCTCGTGCTCAGGTATGAACACTTTAAGCAAAATCTGCGAGCACAAATCGGTTAGTCTGCTATAACTGCCTGAATTACCACCTACTTCAAGCGCCATCACCGGAATTTCAGCCACAGTTTGAACCAAAGACTTTAAACTATCCGGAAAGCGGTCCAAATGAATCAAACCCATTACAAGTTCCAACCTTTCAAGAACAGTAAACAAGACCTTCACATCAAATTCACTCTCTTCCCCATCACAATCTTCATCGTGAGAACTCTGGGCACAATTCTTCAAACCCCGATTTCTGATGCGGCCCTTTCTCTTCTTATTAGCGGCAACGTGGGACCCATGGCTGGATTCACCTGGAGGACGATGCTTGAGGGACCGGCGAATGGACTGGAGGAGAGAGAGAAAGTCCATGGGGTTGAAGAGAGTGCAGACAGGGGAATTGGGTGAGAGGAGAAGAGAGAGGTAGACTTTGGAGGCTGAAAGGGCGAGATGGGTACGGCCCAAATCCATGGCGGAGGCGATCGGACGGACGAGATTGGACAAAGAGAGGGCCTTGGAGGAGAGCTCGTCGTGGAGGCGGTCCATGAGTTCAGAGTCATCGTCGGCGAGGGCGTTGTCTAAGAGGGTTTGGAGGTCTGAGAGGGTGGAATCGGAGATGGGTAGGGTTTGGCGGTCTGAGGGGTTTTCAGAGTGGCGGAGTTCTTCGAGCTCTGTGACTATTCGGGTTATGGCTTCCTCCATGGCTGTTTTGGTTTGAGGTCACTCCCACTGGGAAAATGGATGGCTGCAGGAGGCCCCTTCTCTCTCTCTGCTTGGCCCTGATTTTCAAATTTTGGGTTTCCCGCTTCTTCTTTTTCGGGGAAGAAAATGCCGAGCTTTCAGACGAAATTTTTTTTTATAACAAAAATAAAAGTAACGCTATTGTTAATTAGTTATCACCTCATCCTCATACGGAGATAAGTATTCTGTATGTTTAATTGCTGATTTATTTGTCTATTAATTACCAAAACTTTTGTGAATTATTAGTAAAGTTGAGTAGAAAATGAGATGACTTGTGAAATAAATTTAACCAAGTTAAGTGCGAAAGGAGATGACGAGTATGGTGGCAGTACGTCTCATAAGAAAAATGTAATTGAAGCTTTGGGGTTCAAGATTTTGAAAGATGTAATGTCTAAAACACACACTGTTTGGAACTCAAAACTTGAGTTAAAATAGTTCATGGTGGAGGATGCTCCTAATAAAGTAGCTATATTGAGTTGCACTTGAAAAGTTGTTATTGATTCAAGATTTAGATCCCTTGACTCAAAAACACTCATTTTTGGCCCCATGTAGTTTGTCGGATTTTCCACTTTTATCCATGTGGTTTTAATCCTGACAATTTAATGTATGTAGTTCGATATTATTGCAATTCAAGGACACGTTAAAATTTCATTCAATTCGAAACTTTATCCGGTTCTACCCCCAGACTGATTCTGGTGAGTCAACATGCTCTGTATCCTTGAGTGAGTTGGGTAAAGTAAACTCCCTGCTTGGACGGAGTTCAGTTTTCCTGTGACCAAACTCCCTGTGCCACCCTGTGACCTTCTTATTCTTTTGACATGTGTCACTTCACTTAACATAAAATTAACACAGTTAACTTCATTTGAAAATTTAAAAACAAAAAAATAATTCTTCATCATCTTTCTCTTTGGTCTGTGCCCAGATATTCACTCTCAGCGACAAATTATCATGCAAAAATTCTCCACAACAATAGCCCATAAGTGGTAGATTTGCATGTGTATTTTTGTCCGGTCATCAACATCAATGAACCCATCTTAAATTCACAAACTTTTCTTTGTTGTGTTTTTTTCATTGATCAAAAAAAACTTCATTAGTTTGTTGGTGTGGCATATATGTGGAGCCCTCATCTTCAAAAATATAGTATCATATGTATTTAAAATACAATATATATTTTTAAATATTATAAAAAACAAAAACAAAATTTTATGAATTTTAAATTAAAAAATTAAAAAAATTTGCAGGGACCATTTGTGATAGATGTGTTAACCTCAGGGATGTTTTGTGATATGTATATATGCCACGTCAGCAAACTAACGGAGTTTTTGACGGAACCTAACGGCAAAGACCATTTGTGATCACACATACTAACCTTGAGGACCATAAGTGACACAAAAAAACATTAAGGATGCAATCTGATAGTTTCGTAAACCTTAGGGACCTTTTGTGATAATAAGCCTTTATCATAGTTAACTTCATTTGAAAATTTAAAAACAAAAAAATAATTCTTCATCATCTTTCTCTTTGGTCTGTGCCCAGATATTCACTCTCAGCGACAAATTATCATGCAAAAATTCTCCACAACAATAGCCCATAAGTGGTAGATTTGCATGTGTATTTTTGTCCGGTCATCAACATCAATGAACCCATCTTAAATTCACAAACTTTTCTTTGTTGTGTTTTTTTCATTGATCAAATCAGATTGTTGATACCACCGAGGTGACAGCCGCTGGCCTGGTTAATTTCCGACAACCGCACATCAATTGGTGACACCCACGGGCTTCGATTTATGGAACCCAGATGAAACACCGTCATCCAACACCTGAAAGTTGTCGAACTCGCCTTAGAAATCTTTGTCGAATCTGCAATTTGCCGACCCGCCGAGCTTCTACTCGAGTTGTCGAGGCCCAGCAACAGAACCGCCATGCTCCAACGTACAAAACCCCGTCAGCCTTTTAACCACCTTACATCGGAAAAATGTTTTCGTTACCCCTTCATCTTTCCTGCGCTTATATGAAAGCTCAGCCAGTTCTTGATAAACAAACCTTTAATATAATTATTTTAATTATTATTTTGATAAAAATTAAAGACTTAATAGAGTTAAGTTTTTGTTAAATGAAGGGACACGTGTCACGAGTATAAGAAGGTCACAGGGTGGCACAGGGAGTTTAGTAACAAGAAAACTGAACTCGCTTGGACGAGCACCAGGGAACAGGAGAATTCCCACTACCGCTGACAGTCCAGATGCTGATTGACCTAGCCTTGCATTTCCAAGTGTCATTGAATTGCAAGAGATTTAAAATTACATAGACAAAATTGATACTAATGGGACCAAAGTGGTAAACAAACTAACTAAATAGACCAAAAATGACTTTACGCCTGAAAAAAAAAAAAACGAAAATACCCCAGATTCAAGAACACATATTACTTATTGGATTTTCAATGACTTACCCATCTAATCAGCTCCAATGCCAACGCCGACTTGTGTAGAATCAAAGTCGAACTTGACTTTGGTCGTTTGGATGTGGCACTAAGTGATCCACAGTACATCACATTGGCAAGGATGCGAAAGTTATAAAAAGAGTTTGCACAAGGCAATTTTTTTTTCTTTCGTTGGTTGCATAAAACAAATTTAGTCCATACCATATGGCATCAACTAACCAGCCATACATTCCTAGGCCTGAAACTAACACCTTCATAGCCTCAAGTTTTGCAGTTATGGTTTCTCATCCTTGGAGTTTATGCTCTTCATAGGAAGAACATTTTGCACCTGCGGTAATAATTATTCAAGGCTAAGCAACTTAGCTTTTTTTTTGCCTCTCACGGACATTTCAGTTCAGCCTGCTATCAAGCTTACTCATTAATGTCCGGGAGCAGTGAACCAGTGTCTTCAGGAAATAGTTGGAGAGGTTCGACTGCATTTCTTTCCTGGACATGGTGATGACTGTGAGTTGCTGCTTCTGACAGGTTAGAGTTGAGGTTCACAGACCATGCAAAGGAATTCCCAGTCTGTTCAACTAGCGAAGGTGCTGTGTACTCTGCTGGAAACCAGCCCCTCAATCCATTTGATCTTCTCATGTAAGTGTCCGCGGCAGATGAAGAGGAATTGGTTGGTGTCTGCTGCATCCTTCGTAAGTTGGAATAAACTGGATCATTGCTTCCTTGATAACCCAAACCAAATGGAGATTCAGTAGCAGTTTGAACACGCATCCTACAAGGAAAAGGTGCATGTAAGATATTTAAGGCGCAGTGTAAAATAGGCAAGGCTAAGAAAAATGAAGGACAATGAACACAATGCAGGTTCAGAGTGACTTGGGATATTTTAATAATATGATGTATCCCTCATGAGCCATGACATCATTCCAGCATAACCAAGCCTGGCCCATCGCTTTTTCTCAGGTTTATTTCAAATAATAAATGTTATCTATGAAGCTAAAAGCACATACCATTACTCTCATATTTATAAAAGCGTTCATATTAGATGGGGTTAGCTGACCTTGGTCAAGATCCGCATTGTCAGTCTCAAGTACGGATAATGAGCGTTGAGTTTATCAAAAGCTTACCCACGCTCAACGATTCGAGGAACAAATGGTTCATTTGGCATAGCATGAAAATCAAGCCCAGCACTCAAGGTTGCAGATCTAACTGAAGCCCAATTAGCACCACTGGTATGGTGACCCCTTGAAAAAGAATTGATACAGGTATCACATATGAAAGGATCACATCTCCAATTAACCCGGGAAGTAAATACCCCACTGTGTACAGGAGGGCCACTCAATTGATGGCTGGTATTAGGATTACCAGAAAAGACGGCATAGGGGTCAATGAAATTCCCATCTGCATCTTCAATATGTGGTTCTAAGTCTGTTGTTAAAACAAGTTTTCTATTAACTGGGTATTTAAATTTAAGGTGGGAGCAGAAGAAAATGAACTTACAGCCAGGTGATGGTAACCTTGTTTCCCTGCAAGTTTCAAAACATCCACATGTAAAACAAAGACCAAAAAAGACACAAACCATAACATCTTTAGTAATTATTATCTCCAGTCTCAATAAACTGCCGGAAAATAGAGGTGAATTTCATGATTCTTGAAAACCTAGGACAATTAAACTTTCTGCATACACTATTGGTTTCCTTTCAATTTTTTTATTTTTTATTTTTCATTTAAAGATGAAAAAAAAAATTGAACACAGAAATCATCTCTCTTTATGGTACTATACTTTGGACCCAAACCTCTAGAATACAATCAGAATCTAATCAATCTGATTATTTCTGTTTTCAGATAACAGCAAGTTTATGCAACAAATATGGTATTTCGGCCAGATGTTAAAATCACTTAAAAACGCATTACATTTACATTGAATTTATTTATCTGGGTTCATTTTTCCATAAGTTTGGGATATAAGTTTCTGCATGAAAGACTCAGCAACTAACTACACCAGAGGAGAAATTCAGCCTCTTGACTAGAAATAATCAAGGACATTAGATAGAGGTATCCTTGAGCTTCAAACTTACTTTTGGTATGGGTATTTAGAAGACTCATAAACAATATCAATTGGCATAAGAAAAATGAGAAAAATGAGGACTCATAAACAATACCAATATGGGATTGGGGGACCAAAGGAAGATGGAACTGAGAATAATGTGGATGAAGGAAGCCTCTTCAATAATTCCAATAATCCCATTCTTTAGAGATGGCCCTTCTCAAGTTCTAACATACAATCCCCTTGTTTACAATAGACTCACTTCTAGACATTTCAATGCAACTGCTACCTAGGCAAACTTGTAATTCCATTATAGTAGTTCATCAATAGCATACCCCCACCAAGTAAACAGCATTACCACAGCATAATGATAACCACACAAGCAACACAAAAATTCATGTTAGATGGGATATATCAGCATCTCAAAAGGAAAGAATCCAAGCACAACTAGCAACTACTAATTGAAGTCCTGGGCTACAAGTTTTTTTAACTCATCAATCTGACGACCTATTAGATGAACACATAAACAACACGCATTAACATAGGACAATTTAATATCTAGAGTTGAAGTTTTTATAGTTAACTAAAAACACAACTTTCACATGCCAATGATAGCCCAAAACTAATCTAGGCTTAACAATTCCCAGTAATTAATGTTTAAGATCAATAAATATTCAAGTGATATCGAAGATAGTATAATGGCAAATTTTAACACAAAAATGAAGCAGAAGGAAAGTAAAGACCTTGCACAGGAGAAATAATGCTTACCAAGTATAGTGACGTACAAAAGTTCCATTTCCCTGAAACATCCACAAATGTATTTACAAATTAAGACGAACGACTTAGACAAACTGATGATCACGTCAAGTGATGTACTTATACATATATATTTATATATAATATGGCAATGAATCATGGAAAAAAATACATTGAACATCCAGGTATGGCTATAAAACCATGAAAACATGTTGCAAAGATTATATTCCATGTGTGTGTTATGAGGAAAAATACAAATTGCTTAGTGATGTAAAGGAACAAAGTAATCTAAAATTCTGTATATGAGGCAGAATCAGTCACACATTTGTTGATATTTCGAAGCCGAACCAAAAACTGATAGCATAAAATGACATTTTAAGTGTCCTCAGTTGGTTTTACAAATAATTTCCTTAACCAGTTCTGCTAACTCAATGCACCCACTAAAGCAAGTCAAAATGAGCGAGAAAAATGAGTGTTTGCAGCTTTGAGGAACCTATAAATTGGTACAAAAATAATTAAAATTTATAAGTAGTCTTTGCTTTTACCATGTCAATGAAATCCACAGGCTCCTCAACCATCCCCTCATATAAGTCAGGCCCAGGGCTACCATTCTCAAAACACCTCCATACACCATTCTCAATCTCACGGCAATTCGGGCATTCCATGACACCTTTTACATTGAATGCAGAACCGATGCAATCTGAAGAAAAAGGAAAGCACATGATATCAGAAAAAATAACAAAATTCCACGAACAAACAAAATTAAGTAAATATTTCATGATTTAGGAGGTTAACTTTTTTTCAGCAGTCAAAAGGTGTAAGGTGAAAATATACCAAACCTAGGAAATGTGACCCTCTACTATCATTCATAAATGCCTTTCTTTTTGTGACCTTATATCATACCGTAATTCTCACAAGGCGTGTATTAGCACCTAGGAGATAAGCATAAACCAAGACACAAGTCAATATTTAGACCAAAAGTCATTTTGAACATCATTAGGATTTAGGAGTTTCCATAGCTCACCCATAAAAGCTAATATGTCTTAGTAAATGTACATGTATACACACACACACACACACCCCATGTTAGACATGTCTACAAATGATAAATCCAATAAATCCTACTTTTAAAACAGCCAATTCGTCGAACAGCTTAGGCACAACCCGATTCATTTTCCTGATCCAAAGTCAAACAGTACATAGTTTCTTTTTTTTTCATGAATTACAGGACACTGACTATTGAGCTCATAGTTCCAATACACACACCAGCATACCTTCATCAAATACCAGAAAAAGAAAATAGTAACAGCAATTAAAACACTAATGACATCAACAACAATAATAACAGTGATAATCATTTCTATGGTATCCTATAATAATCATTAACAATAATTTTGAAAAAAAAAAAATTTCAATTCCATAGTTATGTACACACATATATAATTTAGTAAAGAAAGAACATAAAATAAAAGAAAAAGATTTAAAAGTTGGCGAAGTCTCTGTGATTTACTCACCGAGATGAAACGAGTGAGAGCAGCGAAGCCTGACGACCGTACGGCCACAGTCATCGGAGACGTCGTCCATGCAGATGGAGCACTTGACAGTCGAGGAAGACGAATCGGGCGACGTCGCGTTGTCCATTTGCGCCCGAGCAAGGAAAAGCCCCACAGAGACTGAGAGTATGTGAGAAGAAGAGCAGAGCAGAGGATGAAGAAGAATACGCAAAGAAAGGGGCGCAGAGGCACAGACATTTATACAGCCAGAGAATCATAGCTCCTCAGGAAGAACCAAATTGGTTGTCACCCGCGTCTATATATGGTAACTTGTCAATGGGAGTGGCAAGCATATCTATTTCAAAACCGGAGATTGGGTTCCCCTGCGGTCGAGTCCATGGGAAGTGATCGCTTTGGCGATTGTGTGGCAAACACGTGGAGGGTTTTCGTATATGTTGTTTGATGATTGGGTGGTCTATGTTTGGTTTTATTCATTGAAAAGAGAATAAATAAAAAATAGAATATACATGGCAATGTTTATTAATTGAGATGGTATAACACATCAGCTGCCACATAAGATAGTCGGCTAAGGTGATCAATGCTGCGTCTAAATAGCATTACTCTTAAATTATTAATAAGTATTCTTTGTTGTGACAGCTGATGTCAGTGTGTCGTACTTGAACACTCCACAAGCTTTATCTATGTCCTCGTGAAATTGGCGTGAGGGCCAGAGCTATCTGATGTAATTTCCTTGTTTATCTTGGGCATTTAGTTAGCCAAAAAGAAAATGAAACTGATTGTGAGAAAACATGTTCTCACTAGAGCTTTCGTGTAGTAGGTCGATAGTTCTTATTCAATGAGGAACTTTCAAATACACAAAAGTGTAATTTAGCACGGCACAACTCAGTATGTTGGAACCAACCTCACAATGTAATTTCATGAAGATAAGACAAGCAAGGGGATTGATTCCAATATAGTTGTTTGTGTCATCCATTGTCCTTTTGTTGTTTCTCGTTCAAGATTGGGTTTCAAGTGATTATGGGAGAAGTCTAGAAAATTAAATCAAATAGAATCAATCAAATACACCAACCCGAAATCGAACCAAATCAATTATTGTAATTGGTTTAATTTTCAATTTTGAAGGTGAAACAGACACAAACGAACCGTGCCTACCCTAAATTCCCACATGATTTCCCAAATTTGTACCAATGGAAATCTTGGGTCGAACATGATTTCGGGTTATATTTTACCCAAATTTGGGTTTGGCATTCTTGGCTGGAGATGGTCTAACGGAGTTAACCAGCCTATACTGCCAAATTAACGAGGCCTAGCTGGCAAGCCCAAATAATTTATAGACCCAATTAAGAGCATTAGAACTGGACCGACTAGACTACCCGAAAAACCTGGTTTTACAATTTTACTAGGACTTGGAACCAAAAACCTGGTTTTACAGTTTTACTAGAAAGGGCATAACAGGAATTCAAGAGAAAAAACAAGTCCTTTCCCGTAATTTTCGAGTTGCGTAGCATATTCGTGTTCTCGGCCAAACCCTCGCCTATAAATTCCAGTTGACGAAAGCACTTGAAACCCTCTCTTGCTCTCTCGTTGCTGCATCGCTCTATCCTCTCAAATCCCTAGTAAATCTTGTTGGGGCGATCCGAGAGAAAGACTCTGCTGCAAACATGTTGGTTTACCAAGACCTCCTCACTGGTAATTTCCCCCGTTATTTTATTTTCCCCCTCTCTGTCTTAAATTAGGGTTTTAGTTGTGTTCAGTATTAGTTTTCAGGGATGATACGAAGTTAGATCTCTGTTAAATCTCCAAATTTTAAGTTAGGCTAGGGATCTGATTTTGTTCACTGGCGCCCAATTTTCACTACTGCCGTATTCGTCTTGTTGTTTCACAAATTTCTTGATCTATAGCTGCTGTATTTATTTTGTGTTGATCATGTGCAAGTTTTTTTTTTTATGTAATCAGCTACTGGGCTGCATGTTGTGTATATTTTGTCAAGCTACTGAATTTGTTCTGTTCAACTGATTAAAAAAACCTAATTTGTAGTTTTAGTCAGTATTTCAATGGTTTTCGAACTATTTTTTGTATTTTTGTTGGCATATGCATGTGATGTGGTTGGTGGAAGATGTTTGGATTGAATATAGCTTTGTTATCATGACGCAATTCTAAAACTTGGATGGGTTAACTAAGTACTTTAACTTAGATACTTTTATAAGTTTGTTTGTGAGGTTCTTCTTGTTCGATCTGATTTTTTTTATTGAGCTTATATATATCGAAGCTCTCGTTTCAAGTTGTTGACCAATTTTAGTGTATTCATACTAGGTGATGAGCTTCTCTCGGATTCGTTTACATACAAGGAAGTTCATAATGGAGTGTTGTGGGAAGTTGATGGAAAGGTGGGTTCATCAATTTTGAACTTAACAAGTTTAACAGATGGTTCTCGCAATGATTTTAATTTATTTGCATAACTCAAATTTAATGTTTGGGTATCAAGGTGGTTGTATTGAGCTCTGCTGTTTATGTTAACTTCTACTGTTGCACAGTTTATTAAACGTAAGTTTGTATGATTTTTTGTCTCCAGTGGGTTGTGCAAGGAGCAGTTGATGTAGACATTGGTGCAAATCCCTCTGCTGAAGGTGGTGGGGAAGATGAGGGTGTTGATGATCAAACCGTGAAGGTGGTTGACATCGTTGACACATTTAGGCTTCAGGTATGTAGTGCCCACTGTTCTGTTGGCCTCCAAATTTTGTCTTGGAGTAGAAATTGATTGTTATTGCCTGATGCTTGCAGGAGCAACCGCCTTTCGACAAGAAGCAGTTTGTCACATGGGTGAAGAGGTACATCAAACTGTTGACACCCAAGCTGGAGGGGGAGAAACAAGAGGAATTCAAGAAGAACATTGAGGGAGCAACCAAGTTTCTGCTTTCGAAGCTCAGTGACCTCCAATTGTAAGTTTTGTTGGTCCCTTTAGTGATTTACCATTTTAGTCATCCTGTTGATAGAATACTTTGGCACTTGCTATCATTGTGGAATTTTTACTCGAAAAAAGATACAAGCATTGAATCGCATGTTCTTTTGCAGCTTTGTTGGGGAGAGCATGCATGATGATGGTGGTTTGGTGTTTGCCTACTACAAGGAGGGTGCCACTGACCCAACATTTATCTACTTTGCTCATGGTTTGAGGGAGGTCAAGTGCTAAGTATTGGCACAGCTGGCTTCAAGCAGAATGCTTGTTGTAATCCTAGTCTATATTGTTGCTCTTTTTTTTTCTTCTCTAAATTGGGGAATCAGGAGTCTATTTTTGCTTGTTTTCTTTAGAATGTTTTGCATTTGGTGACTTCAGGCTTTATGCCTCCTTCTATGTCGTTTGTTAATGGTATTTTCGAATTTCGACTTGGATTTCTAATTTATTTGGTTCTATGTTTTGATTGAGAAATAAGAATAATATTGTATTCTAGATTTTAGCAGCTCCAAATCTTCATTCATATCTATGCATGCACATCTGTATGTTGTATAATTCATAAATCTACCAGCCCGTTTAAAAAAATCATGGTTCATTCATTACTGGGACAAACGCAAATGGGTCTGCAGTACTGTGTAGACGGTGGAACTGTAACAGCTTGTGCACCTGTACAGAGGTTTGGTACTTGACCTTGGCTAGTTGAATCATCAGTTTAACAATTTCGTAACAAACTCTCTTGTAGTTCAAGTGATTAAGAATTGAGTTTGCGCACAAGTGAAGAACTGTAACAGCTTGTGCACCTGTACAGAGGTTTGGTACTTGACCTTGGCTAGTTGAATCATCAGTTTAATAATTTCGTAACAAACGCGCTTGTAGTTCAAGTGATTAAGAAATGAGTTTGCGTTCAACCGAAAGAAGAAGACATGGTAAGAGCGATACCAGGGCTACCATTCTCAAAACACCTCCATACACCATTCTCAATCTCACGGCAATTCGGGCATTCCATGACACCTTTTACATTGAATGCAGAACCGATGCAATCTGAAGAAAAAGGAAAACACATGATATCAGAAAAAATAACAAAATTCCACGAACAAACAAAATTAAGTAAATATTTCATGATTTAGGAGGTTAACTTTTTTTCAGCAGTCAAAAGGTGTAAGGTGAAAATATACCAAACCTAGGAAATGTGACCCTCTACTATCATTCATAAATGCCTTTCTTTTTGTGACCTTATATCATACCGTAATTCTCACAAGGCGTGTATTAGCACCTAGGAGATAAGCATAAACCAAGACACAAGTCAATATTTAGACCAAAAGTCATTTTGAACTTCATTAGGATTTAGGAGTTTCCATAGCTCACCCATAAAAGCTAATATGTCTTAGTAAATGTACATGTATACACACACACACACACACCCCATGTTAGACATGTCTACAAATGATAAATCCAATAAATCCTACTTTTAAAACAGCCAATTCGTCGAACAGCTTAGGCACAACCCGATTCATTTTCCTGATCCAAAGTCAAACAGTACATAGTTTCTTTTTTTTTCATGAATTACAGGACACTGACTATTGAGCTCATAGTTCCAATACACACACCAGCATACCTTCATCAAATACCAGAAAAAGAAAATAGTAACAGCAATTAAAACACTAATGACATCAACAACAATAATAACAGTGATAATCATTTCTATGGTATCCTATAATAATCATTAACAATAATTTTGAAAAAAAAAAAATTTCAATTCCATAGTTATGTACACACATATATAATTTAGTAAAGAAAGAACATAAAATAAAAGAAAAAGATTTAAAAGTTGGCGAAGTCTCTGTGATTTACTCACCGAGATGAAACGAGTGAGAGCAGCGAAGCCTGACGACCGTACGGCCACAGTCATCGGAGACGTCGTCCATGCAGATGGAGCACTTGACAGTCGAGGAAGACGAATCGGGCGACGTCGCGTTGTCCATTTGCGCCCGAGCAAGGAAAAGCCCCACAGAGACTGAGAGTATGTGAGAAGAAGAGCAGAGCAGAGGATGAAGAAGAATACGCAAAGAAAGGGGCGCAGAGGCACAGACATTTATACAGCCAGAGAATCATAGCTCCTCAGGAAGAACCAAATTGGTTGTCACCCGCGTCTATATATGGTAACTTGTCAATGGGAGTGGCAAGCATATCTATTTCAAAACCGGAGATTGGGTTCCCCTGCGGTCGAGTCCATGGGAAGTGATCGCTTTGGCGATTGTGTGGCAAACACGTGGAGGGTTTTCGTATATGTTGTTTGATGATTGGGTGGTCTATGTTTGGTTTTATTCATTGAAAAGAGAATAAATAAAAAATAGAATATACATGGCAATGTTTATTAATTGAGATGGTATAACACATCAGCTGCCACATAAGATAGTCGGCTAAGGTGATCAATGCTGCGTCTAAATAGCATTACTCTTAAATTATTAATAAGTATTCTTTGTTGTGACAGCTGATGTCAGTGTGTCGTACTTGAACACTCCACAAGCTTTATCTATGTCCTCGTGAAATTGGCGTGAGGGCCAGAGCTATCTGATGTAATTTCCTTGTTTATCTTGGGCATTTAGTTAGCCAAAAAGAAAATGAAACTGATTGTGAGAAAACATGTTCTCACTAGAGCTTTCGTGTAGTAGGTCGATAGTTCTTATTCAATGAGGAACTTTCAAATACACAAAAGTGTAATTTAGCACGGCACAACTCAGTATGTTGGAACCAACCTCACAATGTAATTTCATGAAGATAAGACAAGCAAGGGGATTGATTCCAATATAGTTGTTTGTGTCATCCATTGTCCTTTTGTTGTTTCTCGTTCAAGATTGGGTTTCAAGTGATTATGGGAGAAGTCTAGAAAATTAAATCAAATAGAATCAATCAAATACACCAACCCGAAATCGAACCAAATCAATTATTGTAATTGGTTTAATTTTCAATTTTGAAGGTGAAACAGACACAAACGAACCGTGCCTACCCTAAATTCCCACATGATTTCCCAAATTTGTACCAATGGAAATCTTGGGTCGAACATGATTTCGGGTTATATTTTACCCAAATTTGGGTTTGGCATTCTTGGCTGGAGATGGTCTAACGGAGTTAACCAGCCTATACTGCCAAATTAACGAGGCCTAGCTGGCAAGCCCAAATAATTTATAGACCCAATTAAGAGCATTAGAACTGGACCGACTAGACTACCCGAAAAACCTGGTTTTACAATTTTACTAGGACTTGGAACCAAAAACCTGGTTTTACAGTTTTACTAGAAAGGGCATAACAGGAATTCAAGAGAAAAAACAAGTCCTTTCCCGTAATTTTCGAGTTGCGTAGCATATTCGTGTTCTCGGCCAAACCCTCGCCTATAAATTCCAGTTGACGAAAGCACTTGAAACCCTCTCTTGCTCTCTCGTTGCTGCATCGCTCTATCCTCTCAAATCCCTAGTAAATCTTGTTGGGGCGATCCGAGAGAAAGACTCTGCTGCAAACATGTTGGTTTACCAAGACCTCCTCACTGGTAATTTCCCCCGTTATTTTATTTTCCCCCTCTCTGTCTTAAATTAGGGTTTTAGTTGTGTTCAGTATTAGTTTTCAGGGATGATACGAAGTTAGATCTCTGTTAAATCTCCAAATTTTAAGTTAGGCTAGGGATCTGATTTTGTTCACTGGCGCCCAATTTTCACTACTGCCGTATTCGTCTTGTTGTTTCACAAATTTCTTGATCTATAGCTGCTGTATTTATTTTGTGTTGATCATGTGCAAGTTTTTTTTTTTATGTAATCAGCTACTGGGCTGCATGTTGTGTATATTTTGTCAAGCTACTGAATTTGTTCTGTTCAACTGATTAAAAAAACCTAATTTGTAGTTTTAATCAGTATTTCAATGGTTTTCGAACTATTTTTTGTATTTTTGTTGGCATATGCATGTGATGTGGTTGGTGGAAGATGTTTGGATTGAATATAGCTTTGTTATCATGACGCAATTCTAAAACTTGGATGGGTTAACTAAGTACTTTAACTTAGATACTTTTATAAGTTTGTTTGTGAGGTTCTTCTTGTTCGATCTGATTTTTTTTATTGAGCTTATATATATCGAAGCTCTCGTTTCAAGTTGTTGACCAATTTTAGTGTATTCATACTAGGTGATGAGCTTCTCTCGGATTCGTTTACATACAAGGAAGTTCATAATGGAGTGTTGTGGGAAGTTGATGGAAAGGTGGGTTCATCAATTTTGAACTTAACAAGTTTAACAGATGGTTCTCGCAATGATTTTAATTTATTTGCATAACTCAAATTTAATGTTTGGGTATCAAGGTGGTTGTATTGAGCTCTGCTGTTTATGTTAACTTCTACTGTTGCACAGTTTATTAAACGTAAGTTTGTATGATTTTTTGTCTCCAGTGGGTTGTGCAAGGAGCAGTTGATGTAGACATTGGTGCAAATCCCTCTGCTGAAGGTGGTGGGGAAGATGAGGGTGTTGATGATCAAACCGTGAAGGTGGTTGACATCGTTGACACATTTAGGCTTCAGGTATGTAGTGCCCACTGTTCTGTTGGCCTCCAAATTTTGTCTTGGAGTAGAAATTGATTGTTATTGCCTGATGCTTGCAGGAGCAACCGCCTTTCGACAAGAAGCAGTTTGTCACATGGGTGAAGAGGTACATCAAACTGTTGACACCCAAGCTGGAGGGGGAGAAACAAGAGGAATTCAAGAAGAACATTGAGGGAGCAACCAAGTTTCTGCTTTCGAAGCTCAGTGACCTCCAATTGTAAGTTTTGTTGGTCCCTTTAGTGATTTACCATTTTAGTCATCCTGTTGATAGAATACTTTGGCACTTGCTATCATTGTGGAATTTTTACTCGAAAAAAGATACAAGCATTGAATCGCATGTTCTTTTGCAGCTTTGTTGGGGAGAGCATGCATGATGATGGTGGTTTGGTGTTTGCCTACTACAAGGAGGGTGCCACTGACCCAACATTTATCTACTTTGCTCATGGTTTGAGGGAGGTCAAGTGCTAAGTATTGGCACAGCTGGCTTCAAGCAGAATGCTTGTTGTAATCCTAGTCTATATTGTTGCTCTTTTTTTTTCTTCTCTAAATTGGGGAATCAGGAGTCTATTTTTGCTTGTTTTCTTTAGAATGTTTTGCATTTGGTGACTTCAGGCTTTATGCCTCCTTCTATGTCGGTTTTTAATGGTATTTTCGAATTTCGACTTGGATTTCTAATTTATTTGGTTCTATGTTTTGATTGAGAAATAAGAATAATATTGTATTCTAGATTTTAGCAGCTCCAAATCTTCATTCATATCTATGCATGCACATCTGTATGTTGTATAATTCATAAATCTACCAGCCCGTTTAAAAAAATCATGGTTCATTCATTACTGGGACAAACGCAAATGGGTCTGCAGTACTGTGTAGACGGTGGAACTGTAACAGCTTGTGCACCTGTACAGAGGTTTGGTACTTGACCTTGGCTAGTTGAATCATCAGTTTAATAATTTCGTAACAAACGCGCTTGTAGTTCAAGTGATTAAGAAATGAGTTTGCGTTCAACCGAAAGAAGAAGACATGGTAAGAGCGATACCGATGGATTTTTCAGAATTGTTTAGATCATTATCGTCAAGTTAAAGGAGGTATGATGTTGTTGTCTTTGCCAAGAGTAAGATTATTGGGAAGAAAATCACATTATTCAATCCACTACATGGATACGAAGTGCAATTCATTCCAATACCCTTAAACTGTTTTTGTTTTTTGTTTTGTCAAATAATAATAACTTGCTCAAACAAAGAAAAAAATCCAAATGAAATTGGCCCTATTATTCATAGACCCACAATGCATAAAATTTTATTGAACGCTTGATGAAAGGCTCAGTGCTTCGTGGGTTTCTTTACAATCATGACGGAGCATTTAACATGATGAGCACAGTAGTCGCTTACACTTCCAAGAACTGCCCTGCAAGAGATTCGAATTTTGTGTCACATTTTAGAAGAGCCTGGAGGAGGAAGAAATATAAATAAATAAAAAGGAATTTTGGATTTTGTAAGTTAAAACATGTACCTCTTTACAAGTCCATAACCATGACTGCCAAGAACCAAAAGGGAGGCATGGTGTTTTTCCACAGCATCATTCATAACATTTCTGGGATCACCTTCCATTACTTCCACTTCCACATCTTCCACCTGCACCGTCGCTAATTAACCGTGTTTGCTTGATAAATCGCATTAATTAACTGACCACATTATATGAAAAATAATGCGTGAATTACAAAAAATGGCGGAATTTGGAAAAATAGCCTAGTGAGTGTGTTCATAACAACACATCACTTGCAGGATTTTGTACTTACCTTTTTGCTGGTGCAAATATCCTTAGCTTTCTGCACGGTCTTACCAGCGGATTTCTTCATATCCGCCTCCAACGAAGTCATAAAGTCCACAGAACCTGCATTTTACAATAAAATGAATTAACCATGCAATTAATTAAGTTAATTAATGAAGCAGAAAATGAGATTGGTTCTGTTAATTACCAAATCCGGCGACGCCGAGGGCAGAAGAGGGAGAAGCCCTAGCATGAATGACGATGAGCTTGAAAGGGTGGTTGGTGCCGTGAGCAAAGAAATGGTCCAAGGTCCACTCCAATGCATAAAAGCTATGCTCACTGTCGTCCACTGCAACTAGCATCAGCGGCTTCCCCTTGTTCTCACTGCCTTCCGCCATTATCTTAATTACTCGCTAAGTAATCCAAGTTAATCACTAATTATCAACAAAAACAACAAGAATATCCAAATTAATTAGTCGAGTGTGGGATTAATTTAGTTGGAGAGTGTGCTTCTGGGTGGTAACGGCTGTAAAGGATAGTAGCTTGCTGTTGCTGAATATGATGGTGGTGGCATATGGCATCTCAGTCAAGTATATATATATGCCTAAATTGTGGGTAACTGTATCGAGGTCGTTACGCCCCTCGACTCGGTTTCTAACTCTCTGTGGATCAATGGCCTTGAGATGGCGGGAGTTTCTGTGAGGTCCAATTCATGGCTCATATCAAAGTGGAGTGTTGGGCCAAGTATGATCCCTCTTTAGGAGCCTTTACAAATTAAATTAGTTACAATTTGGTCTGATTTGGCATAATA